CGACAATAGCAGCGCTGTGCCAGGGCCGGGCTCAGCCCTTCCGCCCCAAATCCCGGAGCGAGCGGAGCTGAAGGGCAGCACCTCCAGCAGCCGCAGCTCCTTTGCCCCAGCCCGGCCCACGGGCACACACAAAGGCAGGATATTGCACCACCGCCTCCTCTGTCCCTCGCAGGGGCCGCTGCCAGCAGCAGGGGGAAGGGGAGAGGGAGCCTTGGGGCAGGGAGCAGGGATGCCCTCTCAGACCTCTCCTGGGGTTCCGCAGCACCACAGGTGGGACCTGTGGGCTGGAGGAGCAGCAGCCCCCCAGCCTGGGGCACTGTGGCAGCTGCAAGAAGCAGCAATAGCTCCACAAACCCTGGTGGTGCCACCTCAGTGGGTTTTGCACCTTCAGCTCTGGGGTCCCCGAGACTGTATTTGTCCCTGCTTTGGTGCTGCCAGCCCTGGGTTCTGCCTGCTCCGTGCTGAGGATGGAGAGGGAGGAAGGCCATGAAGGTGAGAAGCCCTCCAGGACAGAGGGATGAAAAGACTTCCACAAGGTACAGGGTAGCCTGAGGCTCCAGGTGCCATCATGGTGTGGGGTGAGAGTGACCAAGCTGGGGAGGACCAGGGTTAAACAGCCAGGGCTCCTTCCCCTGGGACCCTGCAGAGCCCCGGGGTGGGGAGGAGACCTCAGCTCCTGCACTGCCTTCCAGCTCAGCAAAATCCATCCAGGAAAAGGTGAGCCTGGAGCCACTCTCCAGCACAACCTGGAGAAGAGCAGGAGGATAGAGGAGGGATCCTTCAAACCCCTCCATAGAGCCTGGTGAGGAGGCAGAGCGGCCGGAGGGACACCCACCCTCACACTGCCACAGGTTTCTCCAGCCACCACCATCTGCCCTTCAGGAGTCTCCTTGGACATCTCTGCTGGGGAGGCAGCTACAAGCACGCTTGTGTAAACAGGGAAATCTGTTTCCCCGCAAACCTCCCAGTCACCGGAGCAGCTCATCCAAAGTCCAGCTGCTCAGGGGTTTATTACCCAGCGAAGCAAATTGCTTCGTATCAGTTGTCCCCTGCCCAGAGCTGTCACTCGCTTTGTTTGTCAGGTATAACAAGGGTCAGGAGCCCTGGAGACTACACACAGTTCTTCCTCACCAGAAGGAGTGGTGAGCCCATGAACTTTGCCTTCCTAAACGCTGCCCTGCTCCAAAGGGCTTCCAACCCTCTCCAAGAAGCCCTGCTGGGCCAGGCCCAGCCCTTCTCCCTTCAAATACCCAACTGCAAGGTTTCTAAAAGTTTCTGGTTCTTTCTGATTAAAATAATCCTTCAGGAGATTTGTTTTTCCAGCTGTATTTACACCGTGCTGGCTACAGATCTCCCCTTGCTGCTTCTCTCTGGGGGTTGTCTCCTTGGAAAAATGACCTGTCACCTCTTGCTGTGTCCCACTGCCACACTGTACAGCTGAGCTCTCACTTGGATTTAGGCAGTGACACACACAGGTGGAGGAGGAAAACCCCTCAGCCTGGGAATTCTCCAAGCCCTGGAGTGCTCTGGTTACTAAAGGACACGTGGAAGATGGTGACCAGCTTTGGACAATACCAGAGCAATTCCTGCCTGGCCAGCGAAGGCTGCAAAGCCTGAGCTTCAGCCGTTTAATCCTCACGGCTCAGAAACACCTATGGCCGCACCTAACTGCTGGCTGGGGCCAGAGGTGTCAGCGAACAAACCCCTCGTGGTGAGGATAAACGCCTCCAAACCGTAGGAGATGGCCTCAGGAAACACGGAGGGGGCTGGAGGTCTTAACGAGCCTTGTGAAGCCAGCGCTTCCCTGTGTCTTTTCCCTTGCTCTTCCCTGGCTTTCCTCCCCACAGGCGCGTGTCTGTGCCTTCTTATCCCTAGCAACATCACTGTCCGCCCGCCAGGGCCCCGAGCTTTCATCTGCCGCGGCTCTCAAAGGAGCCTTTCGCGGGGCCGGCAGTCCCCTGGCACCTTCCAGAACCTTCTCCGGCTGCCACCTCTCACTCCAAGAGTCAGTGGGGTGCACGGACACGCTGCGGCTGAGGGAAAAACGGGAACAGCAGGGGCTGGAGCAACCCCTCCGTGGTTTACTGGCACTGCGGGAGGACGCGGGGCCAAAGGGCCGCTGCTGCTGCTCCACCATCTCAGGCCCCGCTGGGGGCTGTGCGGGAGCTGCGAGACAAGGGGCTCCCAGCAGAGCCGCGAAGGCTGCGGGGGCATCGCGGGGGCCACACGTTACCGGTGCGGGGCAGAAGGGGCAGCACAGGGGCAGCACCGGCGGCCCCGCTCGCTCAGCCCAGCCCGGCCCCGCCGCTCCCGCACGTCAACAGGAAACCGCACGCGGCCCGACTGTAAACACCGCCCGCGCCCACGTGACTGCCGGGCCCCGCCCCCCGCCTCGCGCGCGGCCCCGCCCCCGCCGCCCTCCCATTGGGCGCCGCGCCGTTGTTGACCATATACGGTCAGGTACTACGGAGCCGCGGGACCCGATTGGCTGGCCCCGCGCGTCACTCAGCGCGCGCCGGCGGCTCGGCAAACAAAGCGGGGCCTGCCGGGAGTTGTGGTCCGCATGGGGGGAGGGCGGCGCGGCGGGAGAAGGGCGCGGACTACAGGCCCCAGGCGGCGCCGCGCGGGCCGGGCCGCGCCGGCCCCGCCCCCCGGCGGCCGTGGGCGGGGCCGGGGCGGGCGCCGTGAGTCAGTGCCCGGTAAACATTGGCGTGAGCCGCCGGCCCCGCCGTGCTGGCGGCGCCCTGAGGGCGGCGGGGGCCGCGGCCATGGACGAGCTCAAGCACCAGGTGATGATCAACCAGTTCGTGCTGGCGGCCGGCTGCGCCGCCGACCAGGCCAAGCAGCTGCTGCAAGCGGCCCACTGGCAGTTCGAGGTGAGGCCGCCGCCCCGGTGCCGGTCCCGGGCGGGGCCCCCGCGTGGGGCGGCCGTGGTGGTGGGGGCGGAATTCGGGCAGCGTGGGCCCTGCGGACACGCTGCTTCTCCCCCTCTCCGCTCGCCCACGCGCGGCGGGGCCGGGCCGGGCCCCCCGTGGGCGCCACGCGGGGCGGGGGGAGCGGGGCCACGTTGCGCGGGGGGAGGCTGGGGGGGCAGCCCCGCCGGACCGGGGGAGCAGAACCCTCCTCCTGTCCCCCCCCGCAGCCCGCACAGACCCTCCCGTGTGGCCGTGGGCTGTAAGAGCCCCGCGCAGCCTTTCCCACGGCCCTGCCCCGGGGAGTTTTGAGTACCTCGGGCGGCCGTGGGAGAGGAGACTTTGTAGGTCAAAGCTTTTCTGGCTCCCAGACGCCTTTTTTCCCCTCGCCCGCGGGCGGGATACTCCGTGACATTGACAGGGGTGAACGCCGGGCGGGGGGCGCGGGGGGGACTCTTTCGGGGCGCTCTGAGCCCCCGGAGCTCCCCGGAGCTGAAGTGCAAAGGAGCAAAGAGGTGTGCGGTGGCTCTCGCCGGCAAATTGCTTTCTAGATAGGATTTTTCCTCTCCTCCCGCGGCCCCGGCAGCTCCCCGGGCTGGAGCTGATGATTTTGACGCTAATGGCACCTCGGTAATTGAGGTGTCTGCGCTGCGATGCGGGAGCAGGTCTAAGCCAGGCCGGGGAGCTGGAGGCTCCGTCTGTGCCATCCCTGCGGCTGGAGCCTCTCTCCCCCCGCCCGGGTGGGCGCCGGGCTCCTCGGCGGCGTTCGGGGGCTGTTCCCTAAGGGAACGGCTGCCGGATGGATCGGGAACGGTCTCGGGATTCCCAGGGTGCTCAGTCAGGCGTTCCGAGCCGAGCCGTGCGTGTCCGGGGAGCGCGGGGTGGGTTTTTAGGGATGCTGGGGAGGCCGAGCCGCGTTGCCCTCCACCGCGTCCCACTGCCGGGAGCACCGTGGCGTGGGATGTGCTGCATGTGTAGCGTGCTCTGGGGTTTGTTTACTAACACAGCCTGGCTGTGTGGCCCTCTGGGACAGGCGGGAGCCGCTTCCACCACCTCCGTGCGTTGTCGCAAAAGAGCTGGGGAGGGGATGACAAAAGTTTAACTTCTCTATGAAAAGGCGCTTTTTTTTGCAGAACTTTGCCACCGTTTGGCGAGTTGCACAAGTACAAACAGCCGTCTCCTGCCGGCTGGGCACTCACATGACTCAGAGGAAGCTGGGCTGTAAACAAACGCTGCGACGACGAGCCGTTACCATGTTCCCACTCACTTTTGGTGCAACGGTCAGATAATTCCCTTTGCAAAATGGCCGCTGGGCACGGCTCCTTCTGGGAGCCACGCTGGGGAGGGAGCACCTCCCGACCACTCCTGCCTGCTCCCACCTCTTGCCCGGGTTGCTTTTGTTATTCTGGTGCAGCACCCGTTTGCCGGCTGGTGTGTGCCTACGCTGGGTGTGAATTGGTGGGGTTCAGGCGAGTTCAGTGGTGTAAATTAATAGTGCCCTGCGAGCCAAAGTGCTGCTTCAGGGGCACGGTGTGAATTGGATCAGCCTGCCCGTACCCTGAGGGTGTTGATTCTGCCTGTAAGACCATCATGGGCAGAGGTGTTCTGCGCAGGGGGGAGGAGGGGAGCTGAGTGGCCCAGCGGCACAACAGCAGGAGTTGGGTTCTCCCAGCTCTGTGCCTCTGTCCTGGCCAGGGCACTCCTGGCACCCATCTGCCCTGCCCAGGACCTTCCCTGCCTGTAGCAGCCCCTGGGTGTCGGTCATGGGCAGGAGGGAGAGGGAGGCTGCTGTGAAACAGGGACAGCTTCGGGATGCAGGTATTTTGGGACCACTTTCCTGGGCTCGAGCTGCTTTGGGGCTGCTCAGGGGCCCTTGTATGTGGAGGAGGATGCAATGGGGGCTGCAGAGGGGTTTTGCTGCATGGAGTGGGGCAAAGGAACATCATCCAGCGAGCAGGGTGGGAGATCAGGAGAACATTTGGGATACAGCCACGTTCTGTGTGGTGTGAGCTGATTGGAGCCTGTACCGAGTTCAGGGGCTTGACCAGGGAGCCATTTGTTTTGCATCCCATCCGTCCCTGGGGAATGGGGCAGCAGTGTGTGGATCACCTCTCCCACTCGCTGTGACTCCATTCCTGTTTCCTGGGGACGGTGGGCAGGGGTTTTCCTGTCATGCCTGGTGTAGTTTGCAGCCCTTGCAGCACCGTGAGCCCTCCCAGGGACAGCTGCCGTGGGTGCCAGCCGGAATGGTGGTGCCAGCCCAGCCCTCCAGCAGCTGGAGCAGTGCCATGACTGGTTGCAGGGGGAGGCTTACAGTTCAGAGGAAGCAGCTTGGAGTGTCTCTGGCCCCTCCAGGGCCGCAGGTGCTGGCTTTTTGGGAGAAGCCAGAGAGAGCAGCAGGTACCTCCTCCATGGCTGGAACCCAGCAGGCTGCCAGGCAGAGTTTGCAGGGTCTCACATGGGGCTGAGCAGTGGATCAGGCAGAAAGGTGTTGTTCAGTTTTGTTTTGTGCTCGTGTCCCCTGGGGCTGCTTGGGAAGGATAAGATGAAATCTGCTTTTATAAAAACGCACCTTCCTTCCTTTTCCTGGTGCTAAGTGTGTCTCTTCAGTGTAGCGAGCCTGTGTGTGGGGAACAAGAGAAGGAGCAGGTGTCTGGCTCTGCTTGCTGTGCCCATGGTTGGATTTCCACTTCCTCTTAAGTATTTATGTCTTATGAAGCCCCTTCCTTTGTGGCTCAAGGACAGGGTGCTCCCAGGGCTGCTCCAGCACTGGGGCTGCTGGGTCCCCTGTGCTGGCAGCAGGTACAGCACACACCTTCAACCACCCTCTCTCTGACTGGGTCACCACTCTTGGCACCCTGGCAGGGTACCCTGTGTGATCCACCTCCTGTGAAGCTCCTGGTTTTGTGTCCTGGGGGGGATACAGAGGCCTGGTCACCTGCTGAGTGTGACAGGAGACAGGGGCTGAGCTGGGCTCAGGCTCCTCAAGCAGAGAAGCCTTAATTGGCTTTGCTGTTGCACCAGTCACCACAGCACTTGTGACGCTGGCTGGAGACCAGGTGGCACAGGCAGCTTTGGTTACATATGTGTCCCTGGCACACTCCGAGGGGGTGGGAGCGGGTCCCTCCTCTGCAGGGCTGGGGCTCTGCAGGTCCTGGGTCCCTTGGGAGGTGGGCATTGTGCTAGGCAGAGGGGTTGCTCCTGCCATGCTTGGAAAGGGGCAGATGGAGGGGAGGGGACACTCTTTTAGGCAGAGGGGCCTGCACTGGTGGAGTGTTTCCTCTGCCCGGTCCCAGCTGCCATCCCAGCGCTGGCAGGGATCGGTGGGCAGCTCGGGGGGACAGCAGGGACCTGCTCAGCCCCTGTCTGCCAGTGGCACAGTCCAAGATACGAGGCCACTTGGAAAACAGGAGCACAGAGCAGATTTAATCAGCTTATGGTATCTGGCTGCGCCCACACCTCTGCCTGTGCTTCCCGTTCACTGTTCCCCCCTTTCTTATCAGGATCTGTCAGAGCGATAGGGCCTGTGGATGTTGACATCAGACCTCACCCAGGACGAAGGGTAGTGCAGTGATGGGGGTGTCTCTGCCTCAGAAGTGTCTGTTGGACATTTCCTTGATTCTTAGACGTGTGCTGGCCTGTTCAGAGCTCTCTCTGGGCCCACAGACCCTATTTCTGCTGTATGGCCACCGTTTAGATCCGGCAGGTCCTGCCTGCGGGCGCTGAGGGCTCTGAGTTCCCAGCCTGGCTGGGTGCAGGGTTCGGGTGTGTGTTATTAAATGCAGCTATTGCAGGGAAGAGCCTTGCCAGCCCAGCTATTGCACGCTCCCCCCAAGGTTTGGGAGCTGCCAGACTGTGCAGCAGGAATTGCTTCCCCCACCCAGATCTGGATCATTGTTTGCAGATACTGCTCTGGCTGCCACCTGGTCGTGCCAATAGTTTTCTGCTGTGTAGCCAGGAAACCATAAAACCCTTTGCCTTCCCAGGGCCTGCCAGCCTGGGTGTTTGGGGCAGAATTAGTTTTCCATTGGATCAATGAGCTGAGCTGACTCACTGTCATTTATCCCAGCCCTGGGAATGACACAGGAGCATGTGGGCACCAGGATGAAGAGCATGTGTGGTGGTAGGACTGTGGCTGCTGCAGTTGGGTAGGGTTTAGTACAACCTCCCTCTCCTTTTTCCAGGCTTTTCTACCTTTTTTTTTTTTCCCAGCAGCTTGGGTAACCCCAATCTCTGGCTTGTAGGAAGGGAGCAAAGTCTGGGGTGGTGTGGCAGCACCCAGCCCCAGCCCTGCTCCTCACACCCTGCCTTACAGAGCTGCAGGCCCTGGGGAGAGGGCTGAATGGGACACATGGGGGCTTTTCCTCCAACCAGAACTGAATCCAAACCAGTTCTCCAACATTTCCATCAAGTCTGATCTGCAACTGAATCAAAACATTGTTTTCTAGCCCTGACTTGGTTAAAGCCTGGCACAGAACAGGGGTCAGCTTCACTAACATGGAATCACAGAATAGTTTGGGTTGGAAGGGACCTTGAAGATTATCTTGTTCTAACCCCATGCTGTGGGCAGGGGCACCTTCCACTAGACCGTGTTGTTCCAAACCCCATCCTGGCTTTGAACACTCCCAGGGATGGGGCAGCCACAGCTTCCCTGGGCAACCCGTGCCAGGGCCTCACCACCCTCACAGGGAAGAACTTCTCCCACTGTTCCTGTATCAGTTCAGTCCTGTGCACCCCCAAAACTCCTGATGCCTCTGCTCCTCCCAGACCTGGGCTGGGTGTCTGCCCTCCTGGCCATGCTGTTCCTCCAGCCTTCTATCCCTGCAACCCTCATTGTTCTCTCACGTGCCTGTGGCATGTGACATATTTACCAGACTGTTACTGGTTTTAACTGGAAGCCAACCAGGACAATGTCAGTCATCACCGTGCCCCGCCTGCGACCGAATTGGAAATGCTCTGGTGTGTGAGGCAGGCACTTGCTGCATCCCTGGGGATGTCCTGGTGGGAATACAGTGACCATGATCATGTTCTGTTAAGGACACACATTTAACTGGTTCCTGCTGAGGTTGGGTTTGGTTTCCCTCCTCTCCCTGCACACAGTGATTGCAGAGCATGGCTGTGAGTTGTGAAATGCATGCCAGGTTCTGCTCCAGCAGTAGCTGCTCCTCAGAGAGGATGGTCGTCCCAAATACACGTGGCTGTCACCTGCCCTGGTGCAAGCAGATGGCAGGCATGGGTCCCTGCCTGGGGACAGGGAGCAGCTGTGCCCAGCACCCTCCTGTGCAGGCAGGGGCTGTGGGTATGGTCAGCCCCCCAGGGCCTGTTTTTGGATCATCTGTGGGGTCTGTCAAAGCCCTGCCGCTGTGTGCAGGGATGAGGTGGGTGCCGAGTTTGCTTGCTGGTGGTAACACCATCTTCCCTTTTTTCTTCTTGCTTTCAGACTGCTCTCAGTGCTTTTTTCCAAGAAACAAACATCCCCTACAGCCACCACCATCAGATGGTAAGTGCTTTCACAGCTCCCCAGGGCGCAGCACCAGCTGGCAGGCGCTTCAACCTGGTGCTGGTGTCCAGCTCGCTGCTTCCCAGCCCCAGGAGTGCAGGCAGGGAAGTCTGACCGGGCACTGCCAGAGCTGCCTGCCAAGGGAGGTTTTCCTGGAGAGCAGCTGGTGCTACATAGTGGGACAGCAGGGCTGGGAGTGCCCTCAGAGCCCCGCAGAGGGGTTGGGGCTGCACCTCCAAGAGGGACGGTCTGATGGAGGATGTTTTGGGCATGGCCAGTGGTCCATACCAGCCCCAGCATGGGAGAGAGAGCGTGGAGGATCCTGAAGCACTGACCTGTGTAAACACACACACAGATACGTGGTGTTTCCCACCAAGCAGCAGCCACACACACAAGTCCTTGTGTGCTCCCTGGAGCGTGCAAATCCCTGGAGCCTCACCGGAGCGTGCCTCTGGAAGTGTGTAAACACAGGAGAGCATGGGTGCTGCCTGCCTCTTGTGCTCTTCCAGCTGTCCCCAGACTCAGTCCCTCGACTCTCGTGCCCCGGCAGCCTGTAATCTGCTTGGGCAGATGTGTCTTAGGGATTTACTGGCTGCTGTGGCCTCGTTTGACTCTCCAGGACAATTGGGGATTTGGGGCGTGCAGAGCAAGTGCCCGGCAGGGCCAGAGCATGCCCAGTCTCCTGTGGGGTGGGAGCTGGGCCTGAGTCTGGTGCCCACCAAGTCAGAAAGCTGCAGGCCCAGGGGTTGTGGAGCAGAGGGGTTCCCTGAGTTGGGTGGGTACAAGAGTGGGCACAGAGGGTCCTGTCTGGGCCCTCTGACAAGAGCTCTCACCACAGCATCAGTGTAGACCCTTAAATAACAGCGTGGACAGCAGAGCGTGGGTCTGGGGGGGTTCCCTGTGCCATAGCAGTGGGGGCAGAGGGGTCTGTGTGCCCCAGTGGGAGGCAGAAGATAGAGACCCCCCGCCTGACCCTGTGTCTCCTTCCCGCAGATGTGCACTCCCGCCAACACGCCGGCCACGCCGCCCAACTTCCCCGACGCCCTCACCATGTTCTCCCGCCTCAAGGCTTCCGAGAGCTTCAACAGCAGTAGCCCCGTGGCCTCCATGGCAACCTCCCCACCGCCCCCGGCCCCGCCGCTGCCCCAGCACGGGGCCTTCAACCCCGCCTGGCCCACGGCTTCTCCCCCTGGCCAGCAGCAGAGCATGTGGACTCCGGCCGCGCCGGCGCAGCCCGCGGGCTGGCCCGCCGCTGTCTCCCAGCAGGCCACCGCGGAACAGAAGGCCAACGTGACCATGGAGGCAGAGAGATGAGGCCGCGGCCAAGAGCGAACGCGGTGGGGAGGGACCCCTGCATATAAATATTTTTTTTTTTTCCTCCCCCCCCTCCCCAAAGAGGAGAGGAACTCTGCTGCCAGGGCGTCTGGCAGCTGCCGAAACACACGAGAGAAATAGCTGCCTTGCATGGGTTTGGTTTGAAGTAGTTTTTACTTGTTCTCGAGCTGAATGGAGCTCCCCAGAGACAGCGGGAGGCTGCGTGGGACCGGTGCCAGCCTCCATGTGGGACCCCGCCGCTGCCAGACTCTCCGGGAGGGAGCACCCCCTCCTCTCTTGGGACACCGGAGTTTGCATGCCAGTGACATTTACAGAGGAGGTCCCTTCTTCAGGGTCCCCTGGGCCACCCCACTAGGCCAAGTGGGTTGTGCCTGAGTGTTTCCCCCTATCCCTTGGCCCCGCTCGACTGGGTGGGGGCAGATACCCCACGAGGCTTGTTTTTTGTAAGGGGTGAAGAGAGCAAGGGCTGTTCCTGCTCCACCACAGCCTCCACCCTGCACACATCATCCTTGCTGGTGAGCAGGGCTGGGGGACACCGGCTCTTGGGGAGGCATCTGACCCCTCGCCCAGCCCCCGATGGGGAGCAGGGGGTGAGCCACAGTGGCCCGGCTGGGCCAGCACACCCTCCCCTCCACCCCCTGGGATGGGGTTCTCCCCAGGGCTCTTTTGCATGACACAGTGTAACCCTAGAGACTGGGATCGTTTTTAAGCCCTCTGTTCTTTTTCCCGGCGGCTGGAAGTCTCTCCGGATGCGCCGCAGCCGCTTGCAATACACGCTCTTCTGCTTTGAACCCGGTGTCTTTGCTTTGCTCGCAGCAGGGTAAGGCTGCCCTGGCCCAGAGTGTTTCATATCCCCTCTCCCAGTGGCTCTTGTGTGTCCGAGGTGGGGCTGGCTGCACTTGCAGCTGCTCCAGACACCCCATTCCAGCAGCACAGTGACACCAACTGCCTTTGGCCAAGTGCATCCAGGGCCCAGCCCCAGGAGGAGCCAGCCCAGCTCTGACTGCAGAGACCCCTCAAGCCAATGGCAGGGCTTTGTTGAGCCCTTGGCTCCCCGTGTGACACGCACAGGTCCTGGTGCCTTGCTGTGACCTGTCCCCTCTTTGCCAGGTCCCTCGGAGGTCGCTGTCCCTGCGGGGCCCTCTCCCAGCAAGGCTGTGCCCCTGCATCTCTGTGCTTACCAGTCAATAATTAATTTGAATCTCTTATTTGTGTTGCTAAAATAAACAGTGTAGGAGCGATGGTTTCACCCTGGCTGCCTCTTGGGACAGCCTTGGCAGAGCCTGCGAGGGAGGGCTGGAGCTGGGGCTGGCTCTTGTGAGCTTCCTTGTGTGGAGCTGTGCTGGAGCTGCCACCTGCAGTCCTGCCCTACTGAACGGAGTGGGCCAAGCTGGTGGAATCTGGAAGGAGCCAGGGCTGTGCACCTTGTTTCCCAGCTGTGGTGGCCTGAGCACGTCAAGGCCAGGGTGGAGTCCTCCTGGGAGTGGGGGTGGTCTGTGAGGCAGGGAGTGTGCCCACAGCCCACCCAGGGGACACAGAGAAGAAAGACAACTGCCTGTGAAACACAGGTGAAGCCACATGGAGACCTGGGTGGTGGGGAGGGGAAGCTGCTTGTGACTGTTCCAGGGCCACCAGGAGCCATAGGATTGGAAAATCAAGTGCTAGACCAGAGACCTGGACATCTGACTGATCAGAGAGAGCTCACGGGGACATGGCATAGCCCAAAAGTGTCAGACTGTGGTTGCTGAGTCCTCAGGGATGGCACAGGAGAGGCAACACAGGAGAGAGTATCTCTATGGTCCCTAGTGTTAGCCCACGACAGTGAGTGGCTGCCAGGGCAGTGTGACTCCAATTCCACCAGTCCCCCGAGGCCTGGCAGCACAGCCCTGGTGCACCTGCCCCTCCCCAGCCCCCCATGACATTTTACAGCCCTGTAAAACGGGGAGGGCTCACGGCGCTGCAGGGGCTGCAAACTACACCAGGCATGACACCTGGGTGCCAGCCCAGACACCTGTGCAGTTTGCCACCAGCCCCCGAGGAGCTTGGTTTTGTCCACATGGCAGCAATGCAGAAGGACAAACAGCCCTTACATGGGGCATGACATCCCTGGGAGCCCTTCAAGGAGTGCTTACAAGCAGGCTGAGCCCACATGGCAGGGCTGGTGGCCCAGGGCACACCCAGGACAGACATTCCCATGAGAATGGGAAAATGTAGTTGCTGTTGTTTGAGGATGTGCCAGGAGCAGGGCTGGAGGGCCTTCATTGCTTCAGTGTGAGAAGCAGAGACACTTAGCACAGGGAGTCAGCCATCCCCTGCAGAGCCCCAGCCCTGCCACCACCCCGTGTGCCTTTCCTTGTTCACAACACCCAAGCCCTGCTCCAGCAGCACCTTGTTCATGGCTGGGTGCTCCACCATCCCACACAGGCTCCACGTGTTCCCCCAGCCCTCCCCTTTGCCTCCTTGGAGCCACCCACCATTGTTCATCCCCAGCTCTGTCAGCATGGCATGGCCACAAAATCCGGGCATGCTGAGCTGCTTTGGAGTGGGGATGTGCCAAGTCTGGGCAAGCCTGTACTGAGCCTGGTTCAGGCACCAGCCATGGCACAAGTGTCTCCTGAGCTGAGCCTGGGGCTGTGCTCACCTGGGTGTCCTCGGTGTCACCCCACAGCTTCCTGCAGCCTCGTGCACTGCTCCTGCAGCTGGCCCAGCACCTCCCTGCCCAAACCCAGCCCCTGGGGAGGACATGTAGCCCTGGGTGAAACAGGGAGGCTGCAGGACCCAGGCAAGGCAGGGAGGTGAGCTTATGGGTGGCCCCAGAGTGTGGCTAGTGAGGACATCCTGAGAGATGCCCCCATGTGTCCCCGGCAAGTGGGATGTGGGGTTGCAGCTCCCAGGCACTTGGGCATGGGATGGGCACCTTCTCCATCCTGCAGGTGCTTCATCTCACACAGCACCTTCTCCAGACAGGCAGCCACATCCTCCAAAGTCCCTGAGACAGCTAAAAACACACACCAAAGCTTTGCTCCAGACAGTGCTCACTCCTGCAGGCCCCCAGCACAGCGCTGTCCCAAACCCAGGCGGCTTTACGGCTGTCAAGACCCCCTGGCACTGCTGACAGGCCCTGGGCACAGCCCTGCCAGGGCATGGGGCAGAGGGACAAGGGGGCTGCAGTGGCTTGGGGACCTGGATGGGCTGGCTGAGTGTGGCCCTGCCATTCACCTGGCAAAGGTCTGGTGGCACAGCCTGGCATGGCAGTCTGGTGTGACAGAGATGTCAGTGCTCATGGTGGCTGACACAGGTGCCCGTGGCCTCGTGCTGCTCCAGCAGCCAGCCCAGCCTGCCTGGGGCTTTGTGGACCACTACCTATAAGGCCTCAGGACTGAGCTCCCAACCAGAGAGTTTCTGAAACCAAACAGCCCCTGAGGTTTTGGGGAGAGAGAAGAGCCCCAGCCATCCCAGGGCATTGCCAGCAAAGGAGCCTGGCACCCGGGAGCCTGCAGCACCTTACGAGTGGGCGTCCCACAGAGAGGGTTCCAGTGCAGCTCCCGATGCACCTCCACCTGTGCCTGGGAGAGAAATCAGCCTTTCCACCCTGGTCCAGGAGGGGAGAGCCTAGGCAGCCCCTGGGATGGGTAGGGAGACTCCAAACCTTGCCACCACGGTGCCATTTCCAGCCCTGTGGGTCTCCCAGGACCTCAAAATCTAGAGGGCAAAATCCTCCTGGCACTGCAGGAGCAACAAGAGCAGTGGGGTAACTGGGACAGTGGGATACCCAGGGATGGATGTCTGCTCTAGTGGCTGGGAGAGTGACATGGACCCTGCCAGAAGAACCTTCCAAGGCCAGTTGCTCACCCAGGCAGGTCACTGCAGCCAGGGCAGCCCCTGGGAGGCTTCAGTGCATTTTCCATAAGGATTTGCCAAAGTTCCTCATTTCTATTGCCCCATGCACCCTTGCTATCCATGCAGGTCCCCAGGGAGCCCAACCACTCTGCAAACAGCCCTACAGTAACTGCCCCAGCTCTGTGCATGCACCTCCTGGAAATTATCCTCCAGGAGCTGCAGCTGGAAGCCTTCAACAGTGGTTTTCAGGGAGCAGATGGTGGTGGTGATCTCCTGCAGCATGTCTGTGACCTGAGGAATATGGGTTTGATCGGTGATGCTGGGTCCCCACAGGCATGGGGACATGGAAAGAAGGGAAGCTAGCACTTGCAGAGAAGATTGGAGCGTGAGGATGTTTCTTGGGGAGCTACAGGGCTGCCACAGCATCAGCCACATCTGCCCAGCCCATGGCCATGCCCATGGAGGTCCCCCAAACTGAAGTGAAAGATATGCAAAGGGGACAAATGTCCCAGAAGAGCTGTCGCCTTTTCTCTTTGCTCTGTGGTTGTGCTCAAAGCCAAGGTCACAACGTGTGAGAGGGGACTGGCCTGGGGCTGTCAGGTCTCCCAAGGGGTGAAGAAGTGCTGGGTTTGCTGTGGGCCAGTCAGTCTCATGTTGCCTGTGGAGAAGACAGCAGGGCACAAGGCTACCACAACTCATTCTTGCACTGCAGTGTGCGAGCAAGGCAGATATTTCTGATGTTACCTACAGCATTTCCCACTCAGAGCCTAAACTTGAACTTGTGCTGTGGCAATGTCTCCTAGAGGATCAGCCTGGAGAAGGTCTCTCTGGGGAGACCCTAGAGCCCTTTCCAGTGCCTAAAGGGGCTCCAAGAGAGCTGGGGAGGGACTTTGGACAAGGCCCTGGAGTGACAGGAGAAGGGGGAACGGCTTTGAGCTGGAAGGGGAAATTTAGGTTAAGATATATGGAAAAAATCCCCCCTGTGAGGGTGGTGAGGCCCTGGCACAGGTTGCCCAGAGAAGCTGTGGCTGCCCCAGCCCTGGAAGTGTCCAAGGCCAGGCTGGACGGGGCTTGGAGCAACCTGGTCTAGTGGAAGGTGTCCCTGCCCGTGGCAGGGGGTGGAACGAGATGATCTTTCAGGTCCATGCTTTAAACCATGCAGTGACTCCCCGCAGCTACCCGGGGAGCGGGCCCGGCCCCGGGCCCTGCCTGGCGCGGCCGGCGGGGGCTGCAGGTCCTGCCCGTCCCCGGGCCGGCCCAGCGCGGACCGGGCCCGCCCCGCCGCCCGCCCCGCCCCGCCCGCCGCCGGCAGGTGCCGGAGCCGCCGCCGGGAGCCGGAGGTCGGTAGGTGCCTGCGGGAGAGGCCCCGCTCGGGGCCCGGGGGGCGGCGGGGCCGGGGGGCGGCAGGAGGGCGGCCCGGGGACCCCCTGGCCCCGGACAGGCCGCGGCGGCCTCACGGCAGCGGGGGGACACACCGAGGACAGGGGGGACACACCGGGCAGTGGGGAGGACACTGAGCCACGGAGGGACGCTGAGCACCGCGGGGGACACGGGCGCCGCCGGGAAGGGAAGGGCTGGGAACGAATCCCGGGTTAACTCTGCGAGGAGGGACCGGGGCTCGGTGCCGGGCCGTGTCTGGAGCGTCTGCGGCGGAGCCGCGGGGAAGAGGCACGGCTGGATGGGGACACGGACCGGGAGAGGAGGAGGAGGCGGCCCCGGCTTCGGACGGGCCTTTAACGCTGACCAAGTGCCGCAGGGCGCTGCTAAAATCTTAGAAAGCTTCAGCTCGGTGCCCTCGGCAGGGCCGGGGAGGGTTGGGACGGGAGGGCTGGAGGGATGAAATTTAATCAGACGGAAAGCGAGGTCGTGTACTCGGGAAAAGACTCCGCGGTGTAAGGCGAGCGCCGGTGCCCGGCCGAGGTCATGAGCTCGCCGGGAGGATGAGGAGGAC